TTTCGCATATGTATCTTGTTCTAAGACGTTTCTTCCTTGTGCTCCAAAATGTACACTGCCTGGATCTTCTAAATTTCACTGGTATGTGTCCAGTGTTATTTAGTTTCTTTTTATTTGGCAAATGAAATTTGTGGTTTTTTATGTTAAGGGGGGCTTAGTCTTTTTAGCTTTGGTACGGATCATTTGTTTCCCATTCATATTTATTTTATTTGTATTTCGTCCCAAAATATTTTAAATTAAATTAAAACTTTTACACGATTTCTATTTTTAATTATAGCAAAGTATATTTATATTAAATTTAAACCACACCAAATAATTTATAAAATCACAATACTAGCTTGGGAAGCAAGTGTGTTTAGGTCAGAGAAAAATCACTGGAAAAGAAAGACCTTTTCACTGAGCAGGTGCATGTATTGTTTAGTAATAAAATAACTCTGTGATTTCAAAGCTCCTTATCTATATCCGGGCAGAAATAAACATTCCTATTTGAAAAGCAAGCAAACGCCATTGTGAAGAGCAGTGGTTTCAAGGTGCGACCACCGAGTCTCTAGAAGATTGTGAGCATTGTGAGACAATGCTCTAGTGGCGCAGTGGTCGCGCCCTGAAACCGCAAAGCAAATGCCATAAATATAGGTAAGTTTTTTTTTATATATATGCAGTTTAATTATTGCAATTTTTTTTATTGTTCATGATAGAAATCATGGTGTGCAATGAGTAACCTTTGAAATTTAAAGTTGTTTATATTAATAAAAGGAAGTTATTTGGTCTCATTGAAAACGAATTTTAAAAGGCAGCTGATTTGAAGTACTAAGACTTAAAACATGTATGATTATGCAGTCATTTTGTGTTATTTAGAGGTAAAAGACCAGTAATCAATTGATTTTCACTAAAAAATTTCGGAAAAAGAGGAGAAAAAAATTCGAAAATTGGTGGTTTCAGGGCGCGACCGCTGCACATCAAAGGGTTTAATAGCCTAAAGTACTGATAAGTATGTTGTAAGTATTGCAGTGTAACAGAGAAAATATAAGTTAACCTGAATATTTTTGAATGATTCTGCACTTGTAACAGGCATTTTTTTTTGTTTTTTTTTTTTTGGATATAACCCTTGTAGAAGGAAATTTAAAGCTTTCTAAGATTCCTCTCTCTTTCGTATTCCTTAACCCCTTAACTGCCGCGGAAAACGTACAAGATTCGTTTCCCAGTTCCACGGTTTTTCACACAGGCACGCGTAGTTATGTGATGTATTAGGAGAAAAATAAGTGCAAGTTTTACTTTCCAAAAACTGTTTATTTTCACAAAATAAAGAAAAAAGAAAAAAAAAAAAAAAAATGAATGCACAAAATTTAATGTTTTGTGTAAAAGTATAATGAAAAGATGAAAGTATAATAAAAATGATGTTTTTATAATAAAAAAGATCCCTAAAATGGAGTTTTGTTCAATTTATTTTTAGACCCGTAAAGTGTAATATCAGGTTTCAGTGTAAACCTTGTGAAATCAGTATGCCTAAAAAAACATATATTTCTTCTGAACTGGTTGAATGCCACGATTTTGTTCTTGATTTTTCGTTTGCAAGGTGTTGGTTCATATACTCGTCTACAAAATAGTTAGTTTCAATAACAATATAAAACATGAGTAGTTCATCAAAAAATAATTCAGAAAAGATAAAATGGGTTTGAAACATCTGTTATATCTTTCTTTATTCCTGGAACCTACTACAATAAGTAAATGAAAACAGAGGACACAGAATAAAAAAAAAAAAAAAAAAAATTACTCAAACAACACCAGCCAATACCGCGCAGTCATTACTTTCACTGCTTTAGACACATCCCTCTCTCCACTTTCTCCCCACACTTCTCTGAAATAATATCTTCCTTCGCATACTTTGTCAAGGTGATTGTGATGTTGCATTCCAAAGCTTCGCGAATAATTTTACAGGCAGCAGCGTAAAGCAAATGATAGTATTTTGGAGGGGCGGGATATATATATATATATATATATATATATATACTTGGATTCTGCGCCCGGGGTCAGATGCCCCTCCCTTGCCCCCCTCTAGCTATGCCCCTGTTCGTCGCTTTAATTTTCTGTATATATATATATATGCCTGGAGCAGTTAACGCATTGGCTGAACAAGGCGTATATATACACCCATGGCAGTTAAGGGGTTAAGTTCAAAACTGCTATTCACATATGTGCAGGAATGCTGAGTAATCGCTATTCTAATGAAAGCTACTGAATGACATCTCGGTTATTAATTAAGCAAATTTTTTAAAGTCATCTCACATTTATTGTATCCTATTTAGCCTGGAAGTGCTCACATGTAATCCAAGTCAGTGTAAGCTATGATACATGTCAGTTGTTTCTAATAAAATCTTAAATGATTTCATTTAAAATATTTATTAATAATAGAGAATGCAAGCAGAAATACAATACAATTGCATAATAAAAGTTTCTGGTATAACAAAAAATACTTATAACTAGTAATCAACCTTTATATCTTGTTGTAATGAAAGTTTTCCACCAAAAAAAATTCTTAATAAAGTTAGGGGAAAAAAAAAAAAAAAAAAAAAAAAAACATGAAAGCAGTACCTTTAGTGTGAGTAGTAATCACTACCCAAATCTATTGATTTTCTACCAATGTTTTGGTAGTTTTTCAAAGCCTTCGGCCCAGAAACTTGATGGCCACAAGTATAGAAACAGATCAACCTCATTTCGAATGTCCTGTGCAGAATGGAAGATAGCACGAACAAGATGTAGCTTCAGTTGTGAAAAAAGGTAGAAGTCCGAAGGAGCAATGTCAGGGCTGTATGTTGGGTGTGGCAAATGATCCCATTTGAGTCCTTACAGAGTCCCATGAATGCGGACACTTGTGGTCTTGCATTATCTTGATGGAACATTACCTTTTTGCAGCAGAATCCAGTTCAATGTTTTTCCTTAATAATGGACTAGAACCTATGTATCCAGGGGCATCACCTTACTTTCGAGGGTTTTACCTTTTCCCAGATATTCTTTGTGGACAATACCATGACAATCTGACCAGATACAAAGTATGATTTTTTTTAATAAGATAAAATAACATGCCAAACAAGTATTAATTTATAAGTCAAACAACAAAAATCAGCATTATATTTGCAAATTTTCACAGGACTAGTTTTGATGGTTTTATTGAACCATCATCCTCAGCTGCCAAGGCGCAAATGAATGAAATACAACGTAGTGATTAGGTAAGGTAAGACAAGAATAGCTGGACAAAAGTTAAGCTATTGGCGCCATCTGTTGATGAAACGAGAACTAACACATAATTTCTTTAATGGCTGAAGGCAAAGATGGATTCGAATTAGGGTCGTTAACTAGAACAGAAGGATTTCTTTGAATGTGAAACACCTCTAGAAAATCTAATTCACCAATGGAAGATGTTTTTGGACCAACAATGCTGGGCAAAAGAGGACTTCTATGTTTCCTTTTTTCTAACATGTACCTTATGTTCTTCACCGTGAAATTTTAAGGCTCTCCTAAGTTTGATCAATGTAAATTAAACCACACTGGCAAGTAATCCTGTAAATATCCCAGTAATTCATATCTGGAATGAGGTCATTGTGTATGGAACTCGGAATTTTATTGATGGGAGAATAAATGAACCGAAAGTAAAATTTCTGTAAAATATGTGCAGATTTATAGCTAATTGATGGAAAGAAAGGAATGACATCAGAATTCTTATAATCTTCTAAAACAAGAGTGTGCCTTTTGGTGCAAGTACTTTGGTACTTGCACCATGCTGATTGCATTCTTCTTTGAAGTAATTTCCTCCTTGTTTGAAAACCTCTGGTCTAGAGGCATTAGTGTTATCACACAAGTATTTTTATTTGCAAATCAAAATATTCATTACTGTGCCTCCAAGCTGCTGCTGAGAATATTTTATATATGTGGCTGTGGACGTTATAGTTATTAGTTTCCATAAGCATTGTAATGAGTGTTATTGATTATATAATTATGCTTACTTCAGTAAAATTTCACAGCAAAATGAATGTTACTGAGTTTTGACCGTTTTCTGATTTTTTTTTTTTTTTTTTTTTTTTGTATGCTGTCATGTTCCATAATTCTTAAATTTGTGTCTGTTGATGGTGTGGTGATCCTCATATAAGGTATTTTTAAATTAAAGAAAATGCCTAGTCATCTGTATTATGCTTAACATACGTTACAGCCTTGCGTTATGTGGATGATGGTATGTACACACAATATGCTGTATTGGCCTGAATGTGTGATAATCTTGCAGATATAAACTCAGTATATTGAAATTGCTATAAAAATTAAGATAGTGTAACCTTACCATGTGTTAAAGCTAATATGTTTTCTTTCAATTTAAAGTAAAACCCAGCAGTGGGTGAATGTGTAAGGCAATTGAATGCTGGTAGTTTGATCCTGTTTCTAATTTTGGTTTAATGTGTGAACTGTGTGGGTATTTTAATAGTTTTCTTTAGTTTTCAAATGGTAAGTTATCTTAATATATTTTGTAACTTAGACTGCTGGATAAAGAAAAGTGGGTGGGTCACGAAATTGCATTTTAATAGGAGATGAAACAATCTAGTGTTTGGGCTAATGTGATATTTGTATGTCTTATTTCTAGATATTTGTCTCTTGATATTTGTGATATTTGTATGTCTATTGATAATACTTGGCCGAAGAGCATTTTCTTTTATTGTTGTACATCGTGTTTATTATATTGAATTTCATTGTTATGTGGTCTAGTTTCCGGAAATTTTCATTTTGTCTCTTTACTTCTGGGGAGGACAGATCTGGTGTTAGTTTCTTTTAAACTTATTAATCTGAGTGTAATTTGTAAACATTTTGCATTTAAATTTTATTTTCAAATAACAATACTGTATGTAGGTTTTTATTATTTATGTATATGTTGTTACCTGTTTCATTATTTTACACATACTATTCCATTTTACAAGGTTTCTGAAAGGAACAACAGCTCAGCAAGTCGTCAGCATGTTACCAGCGGTTCTATTACTCAGCCCTCCACAATTAATTTTCTTCCTTCAGCGGAATCGTCTCTAAAACTCAGAACTTGCAGCAGTAATGAAGATTTTTCATTTCTTTCTCGCAATGTATGCATGAACAGTCATTTGGTGAAGGAAGATTGTGGTTCTAATCTGGTTCACAATGATCATAACATGCCAGAATGTCTTGCTACCAATGAACAAATACAGCCTACTTTAAAATACATAAATAATTCAACTTCTGGTAGCCATGAAAGGAGCACCTGTATATCCTGGGCTCATTCACCATTTAGTCAAAGACTGCCATCTGCATACTTTGATAAAGAGGTAAGAGTTAAATTGTAACATCTTTTCCTAAATCAGGAATTAATTTTTTAAATAAAAGTACCTCAGTGTGTTATAATATTATTCAAAGCTGTTGACTTACAAAGAGAAGAAAGAAGTGGTATTGCTGTATAGCTGAGCAGATATTCAAGGACTGGAGTAAAATATTGATTAATCCTCCACCTTGTGAATATCTTTAAGCAATGCATTTAAAAACATGTTTCTGTTGATTTTTACTGGTAGTAATTCATTTTGTGTTTGCAGAAGTTTTAAAACCTTTCAGTTAATTGTTCTATGTGCAGGAAATACCTGCAATTTACACTACTATTTAAAAGTTAAGCATGCAAGAGTAAATTTGAAATAACTGAAAAAGTTATACTTTGATTGACTCAAAATTTCACATAAAGTTAAGCAATTCAGTTACATATTTGTGACTAAAAATTATAATAAATATGCATATGTTTGTACTCATTTATACATAAGGCTTTATACATTAAGAAAAAGTAAGTGCAAACTGTTTAAACAAATGCAACTTTTTATAATAAGGTATGTGACATAGCTTAAATTGTACCAGAGCCTATCAAAGCCTAGCTCTGATGCTTCTCAGTGTTTGAGATAAATCATAATTTTAGCGAAAGTGCACCAAAGCCTTAAATAAAAGGACTTTGTCACTTTTATGTAAGTTAGTTCAAAAGATAAATTTTATTCTAACCCTTTCCGCACGAGCGTCCCGTATATGCATTCCCTAACAACATCTATCACAGCCGGGCGTCCCATCTACGCCTCACTAGATATTGATTTCAGAAGACAGTCGATGCATGTACAGATTTTAACCTGGAATATGTTTTTGAAAACTACTAGATGGAACCCTATGTCCATTACTTTTGAAATGAATACAGTTTTAGGTTCCTGCCCTTCAGTTTGTATATATTCTGCCCGACTTCGGTATTTTACTCATCAGCTGTTGCGAGGGTGGGGGGAAAGCGTAATGTAAACAGAGCTGGGCTCTTTAAATCGCCACATGCTAATATTTTGCATGTCTAATTTATATCCGCTTCCTTATTTTTTTTTCTCTATGTACGGTCTTTTAGGGTTATTATGTGGAGCTTTGTTATATTTTGCGTTGCTTTCAGATATATTTTGGGTCATTCCATTTTTATTTTGGAAAGCCTCAACTCCAGTCTATTATGGCACAAAGACATTATTTATCATAGGAAGAATACACTCATATGGTAAATGAACAATTTACTGAAACAGATGAGAGTGATGATTCATTTTCTAAAGACTTAGAGAGTGATACTTTCATTCTTGAAGTATTCATTTACTAGTTATATTCTCTGTGAGTGTGCATCATCATCTGTAAGAATAAAAACTGGACCATCTGATTTCAGTACACAGTTTGTAGTAGGGTCAAGAACATCTTGGTAATACCTTTGAACCATCACAGTATCTCCTTTTAAGATAATCAGGTCAGTGCAATAGCTCTAAAGAATTGTAACCCATTATCATTATACTCTTAGCTTTGCAGGAATTGTGTTCAGTGATCTTAGTGAACTTATATGTTTTTTCATCTTTTCAGATACTCATATGCCTATTATCAGATTCTACTCAAATCTTGACTTATCTGTGAACAGTGCATTGGACTATTTGGCTATTTTTTATTTGCATGTTAGGGATGCCACCTTCAGCTGTCCTCCTCTGGCTTTAACCCCCTTTGCGGCGACTGTCATGCATATGGGCCAATAAGAAACACACTCATTTTCTGGCCAGCATGCTGACGTGCCAGAGCATTTTCTTTTTCACTCTTGGCTGCCATGTTTTTGATAGTGACCAGAAACGAAACGATTTAAGTACCACTAGATGGCATCCCGTGTCCATTTCTTTTAAACTGGATATAGTTTTAGGATCTTGACCGTAAATTTTGTCACATTCTGCCTAATGTAGGTGTCAGCTGTTGCGGAGGAGAAGGGAAAGCATAATATAAACAACTTGGCTCTTTAACTTACCACACGATGTAAATATTCATGTTTCTGATATGACTTCGAATCCATTTTTATTCTTTTTTTGCTACTATGTAGGATTTTTCATCCTTACTCTGTGGGGTTCTATTATGCTTTGCATTGCTTCTATTGCATACTTCCCTTTTTATTTCGGAAAGCCTTGACTTCAGTTCATTATGGCGAGCAAGCATAATTTATCAATCGGAGGATATACTCGCATGGTAGATGAGCCAATTAGTGAATTGAATAAGAGTGATGATTCATTTTCTAAAGAGTTAGAGAGCGATATTTGTCATGATTCTGATATGGACATTTTGTCAAAGACTGAGCTCACTGAGTATTTGCCTTCCAGTTCATGTGAAAGATTTTACTTCTTCGTGTAAATAGTCTTTCTTGTATTTTTTATTAATTTAAAAATTTATTTATGCATTTTATCAATTAAAACATGGTAATAATTGGAGAAGCACTTCTGAAAATTATTTTTCAAAGTAGTAAGTAATATTTTATGAATTTTCATGTAAAGGAAGATTATTGAATGCTAATTTTAACATATATGATAGCTTAAGTAATAATCTAAAATAGTACCAGAAATTATGACATTAGGACGTAAAATTTTTTGTAATTTTTTTTTCAAAAGTTAGGCTTTGTGGATGCAAAACTCCCATCCTGTGGGATGATTCCTTTCGACTTCTATCCATCCTGAGAGAACGTCTTAAACAAAGCCACACCGTCTCAAAAGAATTAATGCTTAAAGGGACACAAACTCGTGATATCCCAGTATATACCTTTCATATGTTGTCTTCATTGTTAAGGAGTCAGGGATATATCTTCCAGATTTTATCCTTAAACTTTGCTTTTTTAGAGTTGATTTGTAATTAGTTAATAAAAAGTGTTTAAAACTGATGTGCAGAAATCTCAGCTAGTCTGGAGGATAATGACATTTATGGCAGCCCTGCCTCATTTTGGTATTATTTTCTCATTTTCTAGACATTTAAGGGGAGATTTTTAGCACCAGAAGTATTATTAGTCTCGAAGCACATTGCCCAAATCAGTTTTCAAATTGTTACCATCAAATGTAATTGCCATGTGTTATTTTTAAAGAAATTAAATAATGAAAAATCTGTATGTATTTATGTTCCTTACATTGTTGAAAAACGATGGCACCTTGAGCTGCCAGATTTTGACTTCTAATAGTTCTCCACAGAAACGTGAACTTTGGAAGCCTGCATTTTTAATTTTTAATTTGTTTTATTTACTTCATATTTAGTACACATTTAATTAATTTTTGATTAACAAAGTCAGCAATGGGACAGTGAAGAATGGCTGCACTGTTCAAAATAAAATATTTTTATCTCTAGGGTGCAAGCGTGTTGCCATTCTCAGAAATGTAAGATATTTGTCTTTCACTTTATTAACAAACTCTGCAGTTTAAAAGCAACATATCGCCAGTACTGGAAATAAAACAATACTGATATCTTCCATAGCCAGGATGTTGCCATTCATTAAAGCATAAGATTTAACTTTCAAATTTGCTCTGGACAGTTACTGAATAGCAAACTAGATGATTTAAAAGCAATAAACACAGTTTTTTAGAATATATTTTCTATTTTTCAATATGATTGATTTAAACGGAAATGCATTCAAATAAATAAAATGTCCAAATATTTTTTATGAAATTAACTCTTGCTGTACTAACTGAAACCACTATATACTTTTTGTGATAACTGTTTTAGGTGGCTGGCCACTCTCGCAGCCAGTTTTTAAAGAAATAGATTAGAGGATATAAAACAATGTATATAGAATACTGTATTGGGAATTCTAAAGATATCCTGTTTTTAAATATTTTGTGATTTTGCTGCTGAATTTTATGTGATGTAAGTGTGAAGAATGTGATAATTAATAAATATTGTTCAATGCATAAAAAGTTAATAAAAAGACCCAAAAAAAGTTTTATTAGTCATCTTAATAAAAAAAGACTGAACATTGATATGAAGACCTGATAATGGACTGAAAGGAAAATGTATGCTAACACTTAATACTGTATAGGGAATTCTAAACATATGCTGCTATGCTGGTTTTAAAAATTTTGTGATTTTGCTGTTGAATTGTATGAGGTGTAAGTGCGAAGGAAGCAGTGCTTAGTAAATAAGCTTAAAAGACAAAATTTGTGTTAGCGGGAGTGGGTCCAAGAGCAGATTGGTAAGATGTAATGCTCAGTGAGGGCTAAAAGGTCTTAACACAACCCTTCTGGTGTGACATTAAAATCTGAATTCTTTCAGATTTTCTCTCTTTCTGGCTTTATTTATTTATTTTTGTGTGGTTGCCCAAAGGTCCAGATATTAGATCATTTCAGGTTGTGGGCTTTGTACTGTATTTATCTTTATAAGTCGTAATTGAACTTATTTTTCATTGAATCTTATAATTCACTTTCATTTCAAAAATTCTCCATCAGCAGTTAAATTCATCTACTCAAAGGCTTTAGAAAGGTATTGTCTTCAGCCAGACATGATTTGCATATCGTAATTTTCATATTTGAAACTAAATCGTAATTGATCTCATCATATGATTTAGCAGCCACACTAGTTTATTTTCACAAAGCTAAATCATGTACTAATTTGCTATGCAAGCTTAATTTTTGGAAAATCATTTAGATATATTTGACAGGAATTACTGCTTCCTAAATTGTAGTTTTTTTTTTTTTTTTGAACAAAGAATATTTCATCTGAAGTGCTGTAGATCCCTAGCTTATATTAAATATAATTAATTATAAATGCCACTATGCATTCATTTCCCAAGAATATTATGCAGGTAGTTTGCGGTATTTTTTATGTGCTTCAAAGATTATTTATATCAGGCTTATAACTCAGTTATTAACATAATTGATAACATATGTCAAAGCCAATATTTGTCTAAAATTTCATCAGACAAAGAAATATTTTCAAGTGATAATTTTAAATTTAGTCAAAAATTATTGCAGTATATGAAATTATGCATAATGGAAAAATCAGCTGGTATCCAAATGAATACTATAAAAAGTAAAAACTTTTCAAAAGCAAATGAAATCCTGGAATCCTCCCAAGCGATAAAAGGGAGGGAATAAGAAAGGGAAAAAAAACAGACTTCAGGAATGTTAAATGAGGCATTGGTATAATATTACAAACACAAAGACTTTTATAAGTATTCAATGAAAGTTGAATGCTTTTCCTTAAGATATATTATTATTTTATTGCATTATTAAAAGCATTTTAAATTTGAGTTTGAATGAATTAGTTATTACTTTTTATCATACCTTTTTTTGTTATTAATTTGTATGAAAATGAAAAAAAAAAATTAACCTGCAGCTAAAATTCTGTATCTTAATTTTTTAATGCTATGATGTGCTTATTAAATTGTTTTCATTTAATATCTATATAAGTTTAGGAATCTTATTTTTGAAACAAATTATTTTCAGGGTGAAATGTTGCAATAGGTCTGTATATTTAACACTGTTTTGATACCTTATCAAAAATTCAGTGCAAGATTCACATGGAAAATATTCCAGAGTTAAAGAAATGCAAAATGGTCATTGAAAGTATTGAAAACATAAAAAAAAAAACATTATAAAAAAGTCAGGGAAAATTGAAGCATTATCCATAAAGTTCTTGAAGTTAAGGGGAGGGGGAGGGGGACTGTTCAACCATTTCAAGCACTAAAATATACTACAGTCAAAAGTCGTTAATTCAGACACCCATAATCCGGACCTCAAAGCTTGACGCATGCGCATAAGACCCGATGCATGCGCATAACACCTTTACGGCTGCGCATATGCATGTGCGCATAATACGTTTACGCATGCGCATTTAATGTATAACGGATGGTATAAGCTAAAATTATCTAATTATCTATTTCAGTTAATGTTGCAGATTGCGTTGTTCCTTAATCTTCGAATTGGATCCGGCTTATTATTTTTTTGCAGACTGTTAGAGCAATTTTATAAAAGTTAGATCAAAATATGAACTTTCAATTATGTCAAATAGAATTTCCGATGCTGGAGCTCCCAAAGGATCTACAAAAGGAAAGTATGTTTCAATGTCCATCAAACAAAAAGTGGAATTGCTGCAAAAAATGGATAAAGGCATATCCTTTGTTTCTCTAACCATTCCGAAATTTGTTTATCAATTTCACGCTGCTCTGCGGCAGGGGAGGGGGAACGCCACGGTGCGCAATGAATTGGAAGTTGATCTGTCAGCACTATCCTTATCTTCAGGGCAGATGTTTTTATTTTATTTGGCTTATAATTCCTTGCTAAATGTAGTATTTCATCTTGTTGTACTCCGTTTTTCATATCATTTAAATCAAATTCCTTGTCATTATATTCACTTCCAATAGTGAAGAAAGTGACACAGAGGTTATTGAAAACGAAAAAATTTCGATTGACAAATTAGTCGGTATTCTTGACACAGAAATTTTAGGACTTGAACAGCGGAACTTTGTAACTGAACAAGAAATTATGATAGAATTAAAGAGAAAGTATTAGCACAAAAAATGAACCAATTTAAAAACTTTACTTTGAAAAAATTGTTTAATAAAGTAAACAAATAAATATTAAGCTTTTTTTTCTGTAAATTTTGATACCCTTTAGATCATAATTGTTCTTTATTTCATAAAATAAATGGGTTTCATATTTTTAATTTTATAATTTCTGCATGCCATCTTACCAGATTTAAACTGATGATCTATAATCCGGAAAAATCGATAATCCGGAATCGCCGAAGTCCCGATGAATCTGGATTAACGACCGTTGACTGTATTTCAATAGTAATTAATAGCATTAAAAATACTATTTCAAATAGTAATTATCAGCACTAAAAATACTATTTCAAATAGTAACTAATAGCACTAAAAATACTATTTCAAATGGTAACCAATAAACAAAAATTGTCTATCTTAAAAAGAAAGCAAAAGTATTTAGTGGAGCTTATGTTTGACACATTTTCATCCATCTGTCGCTTTCCTGTTCATTGTTCATAAGTTAGTGAGCTGGTATTCAATATCCTCGTTAGGAATGTAACTGTGTCTTTGCTTAGAAATATAATTGCTTTCAAAAATAAGTGATGTAATTTAGAGATCATTACACTGTATTATTCTATTTTGTAATCCATAAGTATATTAAATACTTTTTCAATCCTATATAATTATTTCCTCTGTTTTATTTTGAAAGTTGTAATATTCATTAGTAATAATGTGCTATTATAAAGCTCTTTTGCAAAATGAACAGGTTTCTCCCCCATTCCCCCCGAGTTTAATTTTTCATTTAAAAAATAGTCACTTTTTTGAATGGTTTAGATGCATATTTTCTATGTGTATTTCTTTCATTTGTTTAGTAATAATAAGGTGGGTTAACTTTTTATAAAAGTCTAAGTTCTTATTTTTTGAGGGTAATGCATAAAAATCAGTTATTTATACTTAATTTGATAAATAGTTTATTAGGTTTGTTCTCAAAATGAAAAGAAGTTAAAAGCTACTATAACATTTTGTTGCAGAAAATACTTTACCCGCCTTGTATCTGATAAATTTTATTGAACCATAGTTCTTTCCTTCACCTCTTAGTGAGCTATTGTTCATGCTTCTCTTCAAAATTATGTTTGTTCTATTACCATCTCTTTAGATGCCTTTCAAAAATAAATTGTTAAAAAGACTCTATTCTGTGTAATTGTATAGTAAATAACTTTATTAACCCTCTGAGTGGCATGACTGTCTTTATCCGGTCATGCAATTTTTTTTCATTTATTTTGCAGTAGCTTATAATTTTAAATATTTTGTTTCTTACTGTAATGATGTAAATATAAATGAATGGGAGTTTATGAAAACAAAGACTCAGATAAGTAATTGTTCAAATTTAACTACAAATCAATTTAAATAAATTTTAATGTGCAGTTCTGAAAAGCCAAGCCACTCAGCGGGTAATTAAACCCTTTTTCAATTCAGTGTAATTTTTAGCTCTTCATTTTTATTTTGAAATATGAATAATATACTATATATACTACTGAATAATATACTGATGTAAGTTTGGTTTGCAGAATGTATCTATATTTTTCTTACATTTGCTTTACAATAATAACTAATTAAATTTTATATAATTTGCAATGTCTTTGGTATAAAATGCTTGAAATTATTCATTCATACTTAATTTAATATTTAGTTCACTTTGTTAGATCACGAAAATTGTTCTATTTGGTATGGAAAACAAGAAAAAGCCTAGAAAATTAAAAGTTTAATTTTAGTGGGATGCAGTGTTTAAGGAATGAAGCTGACCAATTTCACACAAGCAAGATGTATGCACAAACGAGAAACAAAAGGATTGTGTATTGAGGCATATAATACATGGCATTAAGAAGATCTTTTGTGGGTTGCAGTAATGGCACATTTATTCATTAAAAATATCAGTCTGATATATTACTAGTATAAAGCAAATGCTTGCAAAATTTGTATTGAATTCCATAGTCATTGCTTGAAAATATTCTCATGTGAGATGCTTTTGAGAAAAGCATTTATATTTATAACAAGCAAAATGCTGAGATAACATTAATTAAAAAATTTTGGAAGGAAAACTTTCTAAAGTTTAGAAAATGTGTACTACTTCTTTCTAGAGACAAATACCTATGTTCTTGAACATTGAGTAAGTGTAACACAGGCCGTAAGTTAACAGAAAACAGAAATAGGGCAAAGTAAATTCAAATCACAAGGTCTTTACAAAATTATCAAGAGAGAAAAAGTGCAGTATTAAGTCTTTAATTCATATTTTTGTTCAGTATAAAAATGTTTTTGTTTAAATGTTTAGTTTTCTATAAAAGCATTATAGAACCAGTATATAGTTCAAACTAAAAAAAATGTAGATTTTTTACATTTCTCTTATTTATCTGAATATTAGGTCATTGATTCCTGCAAAGACCCTGATATCATGGCTCTTCGTACAAATGCATCATGTGGTGTGACTGAAGGATTCACAACACCTCATGTAGGAAGTGATGGATGTGGTCTTGATGACTTGGTATCAAAAATTGTAGATGATGATCATCTGAATTCTGCTTTTCTTCAAGAGCATGCAGAGCTTTTAGGTTTAACCTTAAATGGTGGGATGTTTGCCTCTAATGGGTAAGGTTAATTCTAAATATCTCATGTGTGAAATTAAGAATACACAGGAGTATAAAATATGCAGAATCTCATATGCAAAGTTTAAGACATGCAGGAATATAAAATATGCAGATATGAAATGACTTCTGAAATGACTTTTGTGAATTTTCGTAATTAAATGTTTTCCTGAATGCATGAGATATTCTAGTGATATGTTTTCAATCAGAGCGTATATTACTTTTTTTTTGTGGTATTTATTGGCTATAATGCCTGAAAGGTACTGCCATGTAATTTAGCTCCAGAGCTTTGTGCTTGCACAATTATTAGTCCGTATTTATTCAATATTAATTGGAACATTTAAATGTAACAAATAGTTTGAAAAATTAAATGCAACATTGTAAACAGTTGCAATTTATTTTTACATGAAATATAAAAGTGCAAAGTGATATTTTAAAATACTTTTTTGCATTTTTATGTTTTATGTGTTTTTCAAGCTCTTTGAAATTAATACAATAACTCTTTCCAAATAATTATTAATTGATATTTTTTCTACTTTATTACTGATTAGGTTAAAATAATTTATTATTCTATTAAACTATAAACTGAAACACTCAAAGTGTTTGTAACAAATAGGTTCCCATCTTCTTTTTTAGTAAATGAATTACATGAATGCTTCTCTTATTTAATTTTCATTCCCCCTTTTAATAAAAATGCATGGTTTAAACTTCAGAGATTGTTTTTTAGGAATTACTGCATCTGTTGTCAGTAGATTTTGGTACAGATACAGGCTTTAATTTTTTCATTAATTGAAAAATGGGATTGGGGGCAGTGGCATAGCCAGAACTCTTGCCTCCTAGGGCAGTCTCAAATTTGTGGCTGCTCTTGGTGCACTAGCAAATTTCCAAATAATGTCAAAATTAAACATGGAGAAATAAATATAAAGCATTGACTTTAAAGTAAAACTTCAGTTCCAACATTTTAAAATTGTATTATTATTTTGCTTGTTTTCTGTTCATAAAATCATCAATGGCAATGTGGAGATCTATTTTATTGCTCCAGTTGCTGTAACTCAGACAATGTAGAAAAATTTCTTAGTTGCAAAATATGCATGTATAGGTCCTAAGTGATTTTTTATTTAGAAAACTTCTTACAGCCCACCAGCGGCTGAGTGGTAAAGACGCTGAACACTGGTAGTTCGGTTCGAGGTTCAAGTCCCGTGAACAGGCTGGCAGCACAGACGTTTTCGTGGTTTTCCCCACGTGTAACATGTATATGAGCCAGTTTCCCTTAGAAAGTCCTCCACGAAGGCATCCCTCCTTTTAGGCAGATAGCCTTTATGTGCATTGCCATAATTAAATAATCCATTCCAATCCTCTTCTTACAACTAGCAATTTGAACAGCAATTGTGAGGAATGTTCACTGGAGTATTGCAGTATTTGAAACTTTGTTATGGAGTTTGTATTTTAAAAAAAACTGCAAAAGTTCAAAAGGACTGTCCTTTAACATGCATGTTTAATTTACCTTAGTAATAAATAACCAGTGTTAACACGTTGACTGCCGTGGCACTTTTCGGATTCCAGTTCAAGAAGCCAAATCGATCTAACATATTATGTTTTTAATTTTTATAATTATATTTTTGTTAATTTTTTTAATAAATTTTCTGTTCATGCAAGCCAGCATTGATTTTTTGTTCTTTTCCCAGAAGCCATCTATCGATATTAGCACTGATATATTCCGAGGTTATTCGTAGCTGCACAAAAATGGCAAGTAAACACAGTACGGGATAACTCGTATTTGGCTTCCTAGTAAAGAATGCAATCTACAAGTTATCTCGTAGTGGCAGTCAACATGTTAAATAGTGGTATAGCTCACCAGAGTACTGCTCGGGTACATTTAAGTTTTTGAGATAAATTAAGCTCTAACCAGAGTGCATTATTGGAGTCATTAATAAGATAAGTTCCAGTGCATATTTTATGAAACTAAAGTTTTAGCAAAAAATTCTTTTTGATCTTGTAACATTTTATTTTAAAGGTAATTAAGAATTGGAAATGTATGCTAAGAAATAATATGGAGATTTAATAAAAGTTTCCCACCACCACAAATATCATCTGCACAAACAATTCCCATTGTTATATTTATTCATGTTTTGTCAAATGATTTTTGGCATTTGAAAGAAAGAGACTTACTTTAGGACACCGTGTTGTGAAATTAGTAAACAAATATTGGTATCATTAAGTACAACGTGTCTGAAATCAAACTATCATGTTACCAGATTAGAACCATCATTTACTTTCAGTTATGTTGCAAAATGTCTGCTACGAAATGTTACCAAATCGTGTGTGCAGCTTTAGGTACTAATGTTATATCATATGACACTATCAAGGTTTGGTACTGAAAGTTCAAAAACAAGGACTACGACATTCAAGAAACACGGTGCTCTGGTCTCCTTACTGATGTTGATGAGGCCTATATGTGAGAACTTGGGGAAGGAAATAAGTATGCAACCTCTCAAGAGCTTGCAAAGGAGTTAGATGTTACTGCCATGTTCATTAGTCGTGCTATGCATCATATAAACTCGATGTACAAGTTCAATTGTTGGGTTCGCATGAGCTGACTTTAGCAGATAAGGGCAGATGTGTTCAGACCTGCCCTAATCTGCTCAAATATACACACAAGAACAAAATTCTGGACTGGATTGTCACTTGTGATGAAAAGTGGATTTACTTCAACAAGACAGGCCAAAAAGATTGTTGTTCTGTGCCCGGTGAGCCCATCGGCAGCGTAGCAAAGTGCAATTTGACTAACCAAAAAAAAAAAAAAAATCATGCTTTGAATCTGGTGGGATTGACATGGTATTATCGGCAAAGAGTATCTGGAAAAAGGTAAAACTATGAACAGTAAGGGGTATAGTAAGATGCTAGTTCGTGTTGATGCTGCTATCAAACAGAAACATTGAACTGAGTTCCAGTGCAAAAAGGTAATGTTCCATCAAGATATTGCAAGATAACATGTGTCTTCATTCACCAGCTGGACTGTCTATGGACTCAAATGTGATCTTTTGCCACACCCACCATATAGTCTGACATCTCTTCTTTGGACTTCTTACACTTTTTCACATCTGTAGCTACATCTTGCTGGTGTTATCTTCCATTCTGCTCAGGACTTCCAAAATTGAGGTTGATCTGTTTTTGGACTCGTGGCCACCAAGTTTCTTGGCCAAAGTTTTAAAAAAACTGCAAAAACATTGGAGCAAGTCATAGATTTGGAATGTGATTACTACCCATACTAAATGTACTGCTTTCATGTTCCCCCCAACTGTATTAAGAACCTTTTTTGATGGAAAACTTTCATTATAACCAGATTCCTATCTTTCCCTGGAAGGAAATTTAGACATTCAAATGAAGAAAAGGTCTTATCCAGCAGCCAAAACCTTACCCCCAAAGAAAAGCAATATATTTACTAGAGCATATTTGGGAACTTTCATTTCTGAAAATACTAGTAGTCCACTGATTTGAGATCAATCATTTAATGTGCAATTTACTGTAGGATAAGGGAGGGGAATCACTGTTTGCATTCCTAAATATGCTCCAAATAATAGTAGACCTAATGTAACAAAATACTAGGGTAAATGGCTCGGACATTCCTAACCCAAAGACTTCCCATGGTAAGGAGTTCCTACATTCTTTCAGGCCAACCAGTAGCTGATCGGTAATGTTGCTAAACACTGGTAGTTTGGTCTGAGGTTTGAATCCCATCAATGGGCTGGCTGCATGGACATTTTCATGGTTTTCCAAATGTGTATATGAGCCAGTTACCCTTAGAAAGGTCCTCCACGAAGGGATCCCTTCCGTTAGGCAGATAGCCCCAGTGTGCTTTGCTATAATCTACATGAGCCAACCTACATTCTTTCAGAATGATGCAACCAAATATGAAAGTGATTACTTATACAGAATCTTACTTTTATTCTCAGCTTACAGACAAACCTTGGATTCAGGGGCATATTTTAGCTTTGTTATATTTTCTGTTTGATAACTATAATTTCTTTGGCAGGGGATCATGAGTAGAAAATGTTTGAATCATCTTTTTTTTTCGTGCCTACTTTCTCCAATAAAATTTTCTTCCATGCTCTCATAACATTTCTAGTATTCTCTCTTTTCTCATTAGGGGTGCTTTAAACATTTTACCTTTTCTCAATAATGTGCTGAAAAAATTATTTTTGCTCCTACCATCTCTTAAAATAGCACATTATATCATGCATTCAGAACTTCAGAGAAGTTTCAGAAGTTAAAGAAAGTAGAAAAACATGCATTTTTTTATTTGAAATTTTGATGCTTTTTGGCATCAAAATGGCTGAGAAATTTCTATTACTATTTAATAATTTTAAATATTTTTTATAAAGATTTAAATAATTTTTTTTTTTTTCAGTTGCAGTAATCCAACTTCAACTCAGAATAACATGTGGTCTCAGATGCGATATAACAGTGAGAAAAAGAATAATCAGGAGTATATGTCACATTCCACTGTAGTTGATAGTGACAGTGTGGGTTTCACAGAGAAAGCAAGCCAATCTCAGCACTTGGGTCCAAATTTTTGTTTTAACTCTTTTGAGCATGAAAATAGTGATATGCCGTCATTGAATTATCATAACAAAATTCATCAGGTATGAATTCTTAAATAAAAATAAAATTAGTTATTTTCTGTAGAAAGCCTAGCTGTTCTGTATGAAGTGGCTAAAAAAATTCTGTGTTTTTGTTTTTCTTATAAGTATAAATTAATCTGTTGTTCATAACTTTATGCAGAATGAATATTTTGAATTGTTTGTTTTATTTGAATGATTATATACTTGTACATTGTTTAAAATGCAGCTATTTTAAATGAAAAGTATTATTTTATTATTAATAGTTTGTTAAGACAAAGATTGGCAAATGAGAATAAAATAGATTTTATGTATTTTTACATAGAACAAATGATCATTTTGTTTACTGTCCAGAAAGGAATTTCTTTTCTTTTTTTTTTTTTCTTTTTTAGTAGATGTGTGTGAGGTAGTTGTTGGCCCGTGGAACAATAGCAGTTTGTTTCAGGCTTAGTTTCTAGTAGTGAAACTGGTTGACTTCATGGTTTTCTCTTCATTTAACATAAACAGCTGATAGTATTTGGAGTGCTTTGTTATAAGTAGCAGTTAGCAATTTATGCTGCAAAGCAAATTATCTCTTGTATGTAACAAAAATGTTTGCTGTAAATACATTAAATGATGTGTTACTGTGCAATTAAATTATGCATTAAAAGATAAGGAAAAACCAATATTATCACTTAATTTTACTTATATAGGACATATAAATCATTTTTGTAATTTAACCAAAAGCATGAACAGTTTGTTGCCACAATGTTATTAGTTTATATTGGCTGTAATGTTATTATGAAAATGAGGTACCAAGTAATGCAGTTTTATCAGATTGACATTGCAAAATTATGAAGTAGAAAGCCATTAGTAGGTAGCTAATGTGGGGTGCATGTTGTTTGTCATTTATAAGAATGAAGTTGAATGCTGAGTTTCATTTACAATGGCAAAATTCCCATATGGCATTCGCATTTGACTCCTTTATGGGTTAGTTCTTTAGATTGTCAAAACACTTACTGAAGAGAGAAATTCAAATGTCATTTATAAGAGTGAAGTTGAATGCTGAGTTTCATTAACAATGACAAAATTCCCATATGACATTCACATTTGACTTGTTTATGGGCTAGTTCTTTAGATTGTCATAAAACTAACTGAAAAGCTGAAACATTATGACCACGTACTCAATAATGCATTGCACAAACTTTGGCCTGCAAAACCACTGCAGCTAACTTTGTCATTGAAGTCATAAGTTCTTGGTAGATGACTGGAGACAGGTTGTACCAAATATGTTAGCAGCGGTCATGCAAAGGCGAGATATTCTGACATGGTGGTGTCTGAGCTCTGAGCTGCCGCTTCATAACATCCTAAATATGCTCTGTTGGGTTGAGATTTCATGAGTCAGGAAGCCAGGACATTAATTGGAATTCATTCTTATGCTCCCTAAACCATTCCAACATAATTTGAGCCTTATGACATGGGGCATTGTTTTGCTGAAAGATTCCATTTCCAATTGGAAAGACAGATGCCATGTAATAGGGGTAATTTAAGGGTACAACTGTTCCATAGTTATGTTCAGATAGTCCGCAGCTTTCATGGTCTATTCCACCACAACTAAGGGTCCCGTAGCCTCCCTTGAGAACGTGTCCCAAAGCATATTACTGCCACTACCTGTGAATGACTTGCTGTACTGGGAGAACAGCTGTATACATGGCAGATGGCGAACCCTGAGATGACCATCAATGTGATGAATGAGAAATCACGATTCTTACAACCAGGCAACTGTCTTCCAATTGGCCATGGTTCAGTCTTGATGTTCCCAGGCCCACCGTAGGTGTAGTTGACAGTGATCATGCTTGGTCAACAGAGGCATGCAAATGGGACATCTGCTGCACAGTCCCATATCTAACAGTGTCCGCTGAACTGTGTGTTCTGAAACACTTACACTTGGACCTGCACTGTATTTTGCTGTCTTCTGAGCCACTGTCTGGCACTGAGTTTGCTGTACCAAGTGGGACAGTCTCCAGCATCTTTTTTCTTTGACTTGTGGACGTCCAACATCCTGATGTCTGTTGCTAATTTCACTATCATTTTATCCACTTTGCATAAATACAACAATGGCTGATCATGAACAACCTACTGATTGTACGGTTTTGGAGATACTTGTTCTGAGTCTTCGGGCAATTACAATCTGCGCTCTATCAAATTCGCTTAGATCAGCAGCCTTTCCCATCACTCTCAGAAGTAAGTGCAAGAATGATTCTTACCTTCTCGAGTAGGAGTTAAATATGATTTCCACTTAATGACATGCTCTCCACATCATCCAGATGAGTTTTTTGGAAAATGTGGGGATGGTCATAATGTTTTAGCTCGTCAGTGTATATTTAACTGTAAATAGGTGAAATGTTCATTTGCATGTGTATTTATTTCCAATTAACTAGATTGATTAAAGCACACATAATAAAAAATGGCTGAACATAAGAAAATAGTCCTATTTAGTTTTAAGGCAGTGTATTAATTAAATGGAGTCTAGTTGAAAATAGTAAAACTTATATGCTTAATGTAAATGTACATTTCTTGTATTTTCTGATAATCTGCTCCCTCATAGAAAAGTTGCTGGAAGTATTAACGAGGCAATGCATTATGTTGCGAAAATAGTTATGTGGCAACCCAGGTATGCGAGTACCTGTTTAAGTATATGGGAACATCTGTTTAAGTATATGTGGATTTGTACTTTTGAAATTCAATCATCATTTCTCTAATTAGTGTTTTGTTTTGTAATTGAGTATACTTCTTTTTCTTGTAATGAATCATATTAGGTCTGTGGTGTGTGCTGACAGATGAAAAAGTGTTGCATTTCTACAGAATTATGCTATTTTGCCTAATAATGTAGAATGCAAAAATTCACATTCTATGAAATTTGACTTCTAAAACGACCAAATTTCATGGAAATACAATGAGAGAAAAATGCAAGCAAAGTGTTAGAACGTTGGTCAGAAATTATTTTGATGATGGGCCATATCATGTTTACAATAACTATTTGCTTTATTTATTGTTGGCTGATGTGCTGTGCCAAAGTTGTGCTTGATTTTGTGCAATTCTGTTTTTTTTTCTTTAAAGGAAAAAAAAAAAAAAAAGATTTATAGGTTTCTCATTTTATTATTGTTGATTTTTGCTTTTATTGACAAACTACTTTTTTATAAAATTCTTAGTGCACTGCCATTTTAAAAATGGCTTTTGCCTTTCTTACATTAGCTTGTCAAAAAATTAGTTACTAATAAGTTCACGAATGCTTTCGAAATCTGACAAATGAATTTCGACTTTTTGATGGGGCTGTGGATAATCAGAAAGTATGATATTTTTATCAAAGCCACATTGCTATTGCTTTAGGACACCATAAAGAATTATGTACAGTTATGTTATAAAATTCCAATTCGGTTCATTATCTTCTAAATTTTTGGCTGGTTTTGTAATTTAATAATCTCTCTAATATCTTTGTAGTCATTTCAATGGCTTAAGTTACCTTTTGTTTCACTTTTCACGTTCTTATCACTGTAATATTGGTTCCTAATGAGTCATACATCCAGAATGTTTTTGTCTGTAAAACTCTGTAGCCTGAATTGTTCTTGTCCTTTATTCCCCGCTTTCCATTTTGAAATCATCAAATGCAGACAATGGTTTCAGTGTGCTCTTAAGCTGATATTTCTTCTTAAGCAAAACTTTCATCCTAAAGCTCTTAATTTTGTTCCAGACTTTAAATTGTGAAATTCAGTTGATCATAATCATGCTTTTCTTAAAAATAATTAGTCTGTCAAATCTTTTTTTTCTTTCTGAAATTGTGTATGGTTAGTCTGCGCTCTACATCATCTGCACAGGGGTCTTTGAGATTTTAGTGTGATCATTTTTTATTTAGTGTCTTTTCAGTTAATGCTGTTATTTTATTGTTCATATGTATTTTAATGCATTTAATGGTACAAATAAGAATAGTGTGATTACAAATTAGTTTTTGTGTGCATTTTTGTTTTTTTTAGGCACTCTGGACTCAGTATTTTTTTAAAGATAAAGTACACATACACAGTTGCATAGCCAATCAAAGGAAGACTGTTCGTCATAGTCTTACCATGACAAGATTTATTCATCACAGATTCTTTGGCTAGTGTAAGAATGACAGGTATATTTTAGGATTCAGGGACCTCTGAATAGGAGTGGTCTCTAACCTGTATTAGGCATTATGATTTATTAAACTTGGCTGTCAGAAGAAAGGGGCCTGATTTAGTGTCTGGAGTTGTATTTTTATGCTTTAGAGATATCACATTTTTTTCCCCATTATTGGATTGATCGCTGTTTCAAATTTATGTTCTTTTGATTTTATACTTTATCTAAATGTTAAATATGCATTTATATTTCTTGTTTAAGTAAAGCATATTAGCCTCCTCTTATCTTTTTCAATTTAAAATGAGATAAAATAGTATAGGATGGTACACTGGAACTATGCTTAAATATAAATTAAAACTGAGGCCCTTTGCAGAGAACCCATCTGCTTCATCAGCTGGAGCTGGAATGGGTGGTTTGATCATGCTTGCCATGTTTTATTGGTTTTCGGAGGGTTGATGCGCTTAGAATCAATATAGGGCCAGCACCAGAGCTGGTGCAAATGGTGTGGCTGTACTGGGTAGTAGAACTTAAGGGCAGCAAAATTTACAGATGGTGAAATTTTTAGAATTTAGGAAAGGCAGTATGTAGGGTCAGAAAAAATTTTAGAATTTAAGGACATTGGGCAGCATAATCTAGGACCTGCGAGGATTGCACCTGGCAGCAAAAACCTCAGCACCAGCCCTGTAATGATATCCAGATGCATGGAAGTTTGAAGTGAATGTCTGTGTTACAACACTATTTGGTGATGATGGCATAGTTTGGGGTGTTTCTCTAGTTTTGAGGCTGTTTTTAGCCCAATTAATTTGACCCTTGTTCCATTCAGTTATGGAGTGGCATGCTTGGCGAAGTATATGACCAACAATGTGCTATATTCATTTATGAACTGTTTGGCAGAGATCTTGGAGCTATATTTCTTATTTTCAGCAGCTCTTATTGATAATTTTCTGGATATTGAGCAGATATATCGAGTTTCTGTGCTTGTATTGTCATTGCTTATCAGGATAATATATACACCTGAAGTATATATTATGGCTACGCCTGATGTATTTGATCTTAACAGTTTCTAGATTGATGGGACTGGAGTGATGGCAAATATGTAATCAAATTTTTAAACCAATCATCAATTAATCTAGTCAACCTTTTATTTAGGTAGTAATTTTATTTTTAAAACTGCTGTAGAAACAGCATTTGCATGTGCACTTGAACTCGCTTGTAAAGTGGTTATTATATTTGGTTTAACTTTGTGTGCTCCTTGACTGAGTATAGTTAAAAAACTTAAATATTTGCAGTTATTTGAAGCAGAGCATTCAAGAGAATTCCAGTGTGCCTGTTTAAAGAACCTTGCTCTTGGCTTATATGAAACCATTAGTTATAATGAGTATCTATCAATGCATAATATTGTGATTGTAGTGATAGCCATTTATTGTTAATTTGTTCCAGAAATTTCATCAGCATTTGTGTTAAACTCACCTCACCTATAACAGATTATGTAATTGCGACTTTTACATAAAGGTGTAATCATTAACATCCAAATAAGATTGCAATAATTTCATTATATTTTTTTTTGTAACACTAAATTTTAAAAGGCACTCATAAAAAATGTCTGACCCTGTGAGGTAATTGAAATGGTTTTATGACCCTCCAATGAATTTTCATTGACTAATCTAAATCATTGTTTTTGGTAATTATATATAATTGTTTAAAAAAATGTCATTCTGAATATATTGAATTCTTAGGAAATTATACATCATGCCACACAGCAATGAGCATCATGACCAATGGCTGTTAAATGAAACTACTCATTTGGAGTGTATTTTGACCTTCTGTTCTGTCCGTTTAGTTTAGAAACAAATCTTCTCTCATATGAATCATCTGAACAACAGAATTGCCCTTTGCAATGAAACCTGCATCTTACTGCAATTAATATAACTTAGTTTATCGTTTCATTTCTTCTTTAGAGAGCTTGTCTTTTGAAAATGTCTTGAATTGCTATCCCATGTGTTAGGTATTTATTTTACATTTTATCCATTCCGTTTTAATTGGTTATGTATTTTACATAAAACTTTGTTCACTGGATTAGGTTTCAAGGCATCCTCGACAAATGTTTTTGCAGCCTGAAGGGAATATTTGCAGTTATGAAGATTTAGAAAATTTCAGCACTTTACAAAAACCTCAAAATCCAGATAATGATTTATTCAATGAACCTGATTTTAGATTTTCAGACTTGGATGCTAATACAATGTGCGATTCTGAGGACCAGCAAGTAAGAATGATTAAAAAACTTACCTTTCAATACATATAAGTTTATATTTCTTTTGCCTGTATCTTGAAAATTAAATTGCTTCGTTGCTGTCAATTTTTTATGTTCATTATCATAAAAAGTTTTAAAAAAATCTAACATGTTACTGTTTTAAAACTTTTGTTTAAAGTGTTTTTGGACCCAGGACTTTGGGAAACAAGTATCAGAAGCCTTAAATATGGCCACAAGTGTTGCTTCATGGCCCCCATTTTCCATTTCATTGTCATTTCCTCAGCAAACATCTAGTCAAATAAATTCGTGTATTTCTACGCCAGCACATTTTAATGAATTAGCAAGGAAACAGGTAATTAAAAAAATTCTAGTTTTTCTGATTATTATTTTAGAAAGGGTCAGCAATCTTCCGGTCATCGAGGACACACAATAAAATTTAAAATTCTTAGTGGGTGCTACCTATTCAAGTTTCATAATCAAATAACAAATGTTACTGCAAACTAGTTTTGTTTAAGAGATAAAACTTTATTGAACTAAATAAACAAGTATTTTTAATTTATACTCTTTAAATAAATTTTTTTGATATGTCAATGTAAAATTTGTGTTTGTAATTCATCTTCTAATTTATTATAATCAACAATATCATTTGAGTTGCATGCTCTTAAACAATTATCTAAATGCAAATTGGTTGGTAAGTTTTGAACAAAACTTCAAATAAGTCCATACTCGAAAATAACGTCTTACAATTATATGTACTTGAGCATTAAGAATTAATCTTTACCACACGACTTCAAAATAGGATACTGACTTCTGTTTACCAAGCTCCAAATATCTTATTAGTTTCATAAGATTTTATAATGTAACGTTGCGCACCTCCAACTTGCACGCAACCAAGGGGTGACTGTGAAAACTGTATAAAAGATAGAGTCTTGTGAAGGGTTTAAGTCCCTTTTTATTCAACGTAATAAATTACAATTGCGTGCTCTTGACGCTCACAGACTGTGCCAACTCGGCAGGCAGTCAATAAAATAATAACCTGAAAGAAAACTAAAAGAAAAAAAAACAAGACTCTAACTACGAGGCTCTCTAAAATAACTAACTCACCGCGTTTTACAACACCGCTGCTAATTCAGCAGACTTGAAGCTCACTTGAATGATTACACTACTTCCCGCCAAGCACATAGGCCGAAACGCGGGGTTCTTCAATTTCTCGCTAACTACCTCCGCGCTCGTGAAGTAAGAATATCACACCGAACTCGTTTCCTTCTATTTAAATCAGAATACTTCCGCTGATAATTTGAATCCTTGCGCGTTCTAACTAAAATTTACATATTCTGGCATTGGCAGTTCCAGGGGGGAAAGTAAGGCTTGACAGGAAAGATAGTTTAAACTTAAAATAAATGTTAGTTTTGAAATAAATATAACCCTACATTTGCCGCTGCCAGAATTTGGAAAACTTGGAAGCAGGTCCTACAAACGACCGTGTTGTAAGTTTCTCTAATTCTGAACTACTAACTGGCGAGAACCTCGTTTACATAAAAAAATCTTATGTAACAATTGTATACTAAAATTCTGTTGATCGTTATAAAGCTCTCTTCTTACAGCAACTTTTCCTGGACTTCATCAATCAATCTTGGTCTTTCCTTCCAGCATCTGGAAGGAATAAGTATCAGTATCTTTCTACATACATTATAATTTACACTTTCTTGACACAATAAATTTTTGTTTTTAAACGATTCGTTTTTCTTAGTTATTGCTTAATTCACATTCATTCAAGTATTCAAAGCGTGAATTTAACTTTACCCTGGTTTCTCCACCATGTGTGGTGTCAAACGGGAATATTCGTGTTTTAGTCTTACAACACTTCCCCCTAACCACCATGATTTGTTAGAATTCAACGACCAAATAGACACACCCTTACTCGACATTCTACAACTCATGAGCTACTTTAATATTCTTAAAAATTCAAATGTAGGTGGAGAACCCTACAAAACACATTCATTCTAACTTCCCCTCATTCATCTTTAAACATGCAGGCTTTCGCTCTAAAGCATGACTTTACAGTTTAATACTTAAATTTTGACTTCATGCTTTTAAGCATTCACTTTTAGCATCTAACAATTTTATGCTTCTAGACTAAATTCTACTTTTACATAACATTCAAGTATTTACGTATATTTACAAAATTTTTAATACATATGATTTTTACAATTTACCATAAAAAATGAATAAGAGAAAATAAATTTTTACTTTACTCATTCTTCGCCAAGCTGGCGGCGGCACTGAAACTAAATTCTTATTAGTACAAGAATACGAAGTTATTTTTATCTTCGGCCAAATTTTGGCTTTAACATAACAGAATTAGTCTTTCGACCAACAGAAATGCTTTTTTTAGCTTTTACACTTAAAGAAAATAATACTTTTGCCTTAGCTAAATAAAGTAAAACAAAACTAAGTCTCAACCGAGACATATTGACTTTCGTCAAAACATAGAACTTCGTACTTATGCATAACATTTCGGAACAAAAGAGAAAAAAAATTATAGAAGGTTTTAACTAATCTTTGAGTTTTCGATGCTTGAAACTCCGTCATTCGTTTTTGGCAAAATTGTTCCCAAGTTAGAGGTTTCATGGATGTCAATCTTCTTCTTATTGCCCTCCGAGTATCGTCCACACTTTTTCTTTTGTGTCCTCTACATGCTGGCCTCTTGGCGGAGTAATCGTCTGGTTGTTGGCATTTCCGTTTTTCCCTGGGACGGCTGGTCTTGACGTCCTCCGGTCTGGAGTCCTTCTTGAATTTCTTCTGTTCCTCGTATTTTTGTGCCTCCTGTTGCCGTTTCAGTTTCCGGAACGGCGGCCTTGCTGGCACCTGACTCTGTGGCCGTGTGCGCGTTCTCCTTGATGTATAATTTTCTCCTGCAATCCTTTGTAGGTGGTGTTTTTCTCTTTACCACGGTTTTCTTTACCCGGTTGCATCTGTATTTTTTGTTTTTCTTAAACGCCGGAGCATTTGAAAATTATTTTTTTCTTTTTGATACCGACGTCCGGGTTGTAGAAGAGAAGGGCTAGGATCTCTCTTCAGTTCTCTGTTTCTTGGGTGGTGGAATAGTTGTTGTCTCTGGACCTTCTATTTCGTTTAGACTTGAGTCCTGCAAGAAACTTTTAAGGATTTCAAAATCATTTGGATTATAGTATTTTTTCACCTGGTCGGGACTTGCTTTACAGATTTCCCCTCTCTCGTTCTTAAGATATATAAGACTACTCCTTTGATTTCCTGAATTACATAGGGGCCTTCAAAACTTTGGAGCTAGCTTTGCCATAAAATTGTCTGGGCACTTGATAAAGAAAATTTCCGCTTCAATACTTTATCCCCAACTTTAAAATCTGCTTCACTGCGTTTTTCTATCATATATATTTTTGTCTATTTCTTGCCGTATCCGAGGTTTTAAGCACCTGATCAATAGCTTTTGCACATCTTTGTTTATTTTTTTTTAAAACTCTGCTCTCTTTGTTGCACAAAGAATAATTTATCTAAAGGCGTAGTTAATTTTCGGCCTAAGAATAATTCTGCTGGAGTTTTTTCCGTAGTATCATGATGTGCCGTTCTTAAAGCATAAGCTAATTAATTTATGTAGCCATCCCAGCGCTTGTGATGTGTGCTCACGTAACTGCGAATTATTTTTACTATATTTTTATTAACTCTTTCTGCTATGTTAGCTTGTGGTCTATACGGAACCATTTTGATATGGTGTATGCCAAGTCCATTGCATATGTTTTCAAATATTTGACTAATGAATTGTTTTCCGTTATCGCTAATGACTTTTATTGGTGCACCGTATTTTAAAATGTATCTGTGTAAGAATGCATCTGCGACTGTTTTGGCTGACCCGCGTTTAAGTGGAACAATTTCTGTCCATTTTGAAAACTGATCTACTATTACTAAAAGAAAACGATTTTTATTTAACTCGCTCTGGGGGAAGGGACCAAGAAGATCTACGCCTAAAATTTCATTCGGAAATGTAGCGCGAATGCTATTTAAGTACCCGGCCGGGCTGTAATTAATATCATTTATTAACTGACATTGATTGCAGGACCTGACATATGCCGTTACTATTTTGTATAATTGCGGGAAATATACCGCCTCGCGTACCCTTTTTATAGTCTTTCTGACCCCAAGGTGGCCCGCTGTTTTTGCTTCGTGCAACTCCTTCAAAATGCTTAATCGAAGCGAGGCTGGGATGACTGGCTTATACTCAAGATTTTCGTTTGTTGTTTGCGTATAGAATAATAAGTTATCTATTATTTCATAGTTTTTTGCTCTATTTCTTATCGCATCGATATCTGTATGCTCAAAGCTTTCGGAGTCTTTCAAATAAGCATAGATTTCCAAATTCAGGATCAGCTTTCAGTTCAGTAATAACCGTATCTCTAAATCTAAAATTTTTGAAGTCAACACAGCGCATTTAAGTTCATTACCTTCCATCGTCCAGTTTTATACGAGAAAGTGCGTCAGCTACATTGTTTTCCTTACCCGGTTTTTATATTTTATTGTGATATTATATTCTTGGAGTTTTTAAAGCCCATCTTATTAACCTGGGCGTTAGGTTTTTTCCCGAGTAAAGTCTACCAACAGCCGCATGATCCGAAAAGACTGTTACTGGCGATTTGCCGAAATAAACTCGAAATTTGTGTACAGCCATTAATACGGCTAATGTTTCTCTTTTTCTAGTAGCTGTATAATTCCTTTGTGTCTGATTCAATGTTTTACTAAAAATGCCAGAGGATGGTTATTTTGCATAAGAACCGCACCCACCGCATAGTCTGACGCATCTGCCGCAATTTCCAGGTTTTCGTCCCCCTCAGGGAATTTTTAAAACAGGGGCATTAATAAGCGCTTCTTTTAATCTTTCAAAAGCCGTGTTAGCTTCCGCTGTCCACGTAAATTTACTCTTTTTTTTTGATTACTAAGAGTGGTTCAACAATATTAGCGAAATCTTTTATGAAAGATCGATAGATAGTAAGAACATAGTCCAAGGAAAGACGAAAGTTTCTTGGCGGTGTTGGGCGGTGGGTGGGAAATTCTTAATAGCTTTTATTTTTGAATCTTGCGTTTCTATACCCTTTTGCGAAATTTTATAAACCGAGATATTTAAGTTCCTTAGTTGCGAACTTGCATTTTGAGGCGTTAATTGTAAGACCGGCCTCTTTTAATAATTTTAAAAACTTGTTCTAGATCATTAATATGTTGTTCCAACGTACTACTCATTATAATTATATCATCTAGATAAATTAAAGTTGATTTTCCTAGGACAGGCTTTAGAACAATGTTCATAGCTCTCTGGAATGTTGATGG